CTCCTTGCAAAGATCTTGAAAATTGATGGAGTAGTGGCTCTCATGGCCGTCAATAATAAGTAGTTAATACCCACCTATAGTAGAGCTCTTTGTATAGGTATTGAAGTGCTCTAACTAGGCAAGACTAAGCTAATTATTCGTCTAGCTATTAGGACTAACTTTAAGAACCTAGTTGGCAGGCAAATTCTTAAACTAGACGTTGATAAGCACCTTGCCCGCAAAGACAACGAAGGGTGGTATTTAGCGACCTAACGCGCCCACGCCTTAGATCACAGTAACCCACTCACGGTTGCCTAGCTGTATTAGCTTCTTTTTCCTATATCCTTCTAATGCTATAATTAATAACTATAATAAAATCTTGCTTATTATAAAGCTAGTTTCGTTAAAGTTGTAGATATCGTCGTCTACAATACCCCACTTCTGCTTTGTCGCCTGGACTAAGTCAAACCAGCGCTGGATAGCCACTGGGTCCTCGCAGGCGGCTCGCTGGTGATTATAGGGACGGCTCCAGCGCGTACGGAGCTCAGCAGTCCGCCTAACAAAGTTGTCAACCCAGTTCTTGCCAACAGGGTTGCCACCACGCTCCTCTAACAGTTTATCAGCCATTGCTCGAACCTTAGCCTTTGTAGGCGCAAATCCTCGCGCAGACTCTTCAAGAATACGCCTAACAATAGCCTCCTCTTCTAGCTTATTCAAGCGCTTTGAATTTAGTTCGCAGTCGCGTTAAGAGTGTCTTCTAGCGCGTCGGTAAAATAAAGTTATTCAATGGACGCTATAGATCTTAGCAGCACGTTTAACACTCTTTACACGTTAGGAATTAATATTAGAAATAGCAAGTTGGATATCAGCTTCAGAAAATGTTTATTAAATCTAATGTGGTTAAGACATAACGCGTTGTAGTAAAAACGTCGACGCGCTGGTGAGGAGGTGTCCGCTCGCTTGGGGTGTCCGCTCGCTTATGAACCACGTTAGGTGTTACGCTAGTTGTATTTCTATAAAAGCTAAGTGTAGTCTGTTTGTGTCTAAGAAAGAGTGGGAGAAAGTAGAGGCAGACAAGCGTTAGAAGCGTCTAGCTCTCTTATAGGCTAAGGCTAAAGTTGCGCATCTTCGCCTAGAGGTTACTAAGACTAAGGCTCTTAAGTGGTCGTACGCTGATCGTGATTATGCTATTCTAAGTCTCTAGGATTGTGCGAAAGAGCAGGCCGAGGGGAGCTCCGCCCCTGGTGGTACAGGCCTTCCTGTTTTATAGACACCACCGCTATCCGAGCCGTTGGCTAATCTAGGCTAGTTACAGGCTAATTCTTTTAATCCTTCTTTTAACTTTTCTCCTTCCTTCCCTGCAGATTTTAATTATTCCGCGCTAGAGTTAACTTTTAGTTCTCTAGTTGTCTCAAGTAAAAATCATGTACTAGTGACTTGCAGTTTGTTAGATTTCCTTTAGGTTCCTAAGTGTTGTGGCTCTCTAGCTATCCCTGCTACTTAACTAAGTACTTCCACTAACTACTAATTTTCCGCAGGTCTCTAATTTCTTTAACCTTGTACTCGTCGTCTTTAAGCTTTATATCTATTGCTAGCTTAGCATCTAGAGGTGCTAGTTCTAGGAGTTTCTTGTAAAAGACAGGGTAGATTCGTATGCCTTATAGGAGTTTTAACTTGTAGTTTACTTTTCCTATTTCCTCTAGGATCTTAAATAGTCCTACTTAGAGGTTCTTTAATTTTTTGTATAGTTGCTTAGTTTTTAGGTTTTGTTGTAATAGGGAAACTCTATCCCCCTTCTTAAAGGTTATTCCCTTAATTCTTAGTTTATTTACTACTCTAGATATTGTGAGGTTCTATTAAGCTATGTTCTTGCTTAATTCTTTGTGAAATTCCTGCATAAGCTTCGCTTTATTGTCTGCTCCTACTATAATACTTTTAATGTCCTTTAGATCTTAATAAGCAACTAGCTTTTATCTATAGTTCGCGTAGTGTGGCGAATGCTTTGTTGCTGCAGATTTCGTACTATTGTAGGCCAATTGCGCTGTTAGTAGCAACTCTACCTAGTTTTCTTACAATTTGTTAGCGTACATTTATAAGTACTATTCTAATGTCTAGTTTATTTGTTCTATCTAGCTATCTATTTCTAGGTAAAAGCTTATTAAAAGCTTTTTCTTAACACCTAACTTTACTAGGAATGTATTCTAGTCTTTAGACGTAAACAGTTTATCACAATTAGTAATAAACTCTTTAGGCATTCTATACTCCAACACTAGTGCTTTAGTAACTTTATACGCGCATTCGTCTGCCGTAATAGTCTCTTCTATAGGCACAAACTTTGCTGCCTTAGTTAATTAATCCATAATTACTAGGATTGTGTCGCAAAATTAAGCTAATCCTAGTTCTAACGATCTCAGGAGCTTCACTATAAAGTCCATTGTTACGCTAGTCTATAGTCTAGATGGTGGCTGTAAGGGTTGTAACAGGCTATAGGGCTTATGTCTCTTAGGCTTGTTCTAGTGACATGCCAAATAGTTGCCTAGTACTTCCTGCACCTTCATACGCATACGTGGCATCGTAAACACCTTAGCTAGTTATCTAACTATTTCTTTAGTTCTTGTATATTTATATTCCTAGGACTTGTGTAGTTCCTATATAAGACTTAATCTTATATATAGAAGTACGTATGTTTAACTCTTTTAAACTATATCTTAGTAATCTTATTTGTCATTTGATAGTTTGTTAGAGCCTGCTTTATTAGGCTTGAACTGCCAGCTAGCTGCTCGCTGCTGCTATTCCTGCTGTAGCGTTTCTACCTACTTGGCCACCTTAGCTACCTTAGCTAGTTCTAGCTAGTTATACTTTAGACTACTATTAGGCATCGTCTTTAATAAGGCGTCATATAGTTCCCTATAACCCTTTTCGCGCAAATTAGACCTTCTACTTAAAGCGTCTGCTACTCTATTAAGCGTTCCCGCGTGGTGCGTTATCTTAAAGTTGAACTAAGTAAGTATCTTAGCCTATTAGACTTATTATTAGTCAAGTCTCCACAGTCGTTATAAAACTTTTTAGTTTCCAGTAATTAGTAAAAACCTTAATCGTGTTAGGGAGTCCTAGCAGGTACAGCTCCTATTTTTCAAAGGCATTAACTACTCTAAGTAGTTTCTTATCATAAACATTATAGTTAAGTTCTGCTCCTAAGAACTTCTGTGACTAGTAGAACACTAGTCTCTATTTTCTATCTAGGCACCGCTATGACAATACAGCTCTAAGTGCATAGTTAGACGCGTTAGTCTTAACTCTAGTGGGTCTTTAAGGGCTGTACATCTTGAGTACTAGCGTCTTTAGGAATATCTACTTAATTTAATTAAAAGCCTTCTAATGTTCCTAACCCTATTTAAAACCTATTTCCTTTTTTATAATCTCGATAAGGGGTGTTGTAATTTTTAAGTAATCCTTTATAAACTTCTAATAACAGTTTACGAATCCAAAAAAGAATTGAACGTCCTT